ACCTGCCAGCGCAGGTTGCAGTGAACACATTTCGGTTTTAAATAATCCTAGCCATAAGCAGTTTGAAGTGAAGATGGAAGAAGAGTCTGCGCGATTTTAGATAGGTTTGACAACCAGATAGACAACTGTCAAGTCAGCATGATCCTGATCATGTTTCTCCCCCTCAATATCCACATTTATGTTTCCCAGCAGGAGTCAGTGGGTAGTAATTAGGTTGGGGCCTCAGGCTGATTTCCCTTCCCTCCCACCAATGCCAACCCCCATTGTTGCGCTTCGACAATGCACTTCCACTGGATGTGGAGTCCTGTAGTGTATTGGTTAGAGAGAGGACAAGCAAGCGAGACAACCTGGGTTTGATTCCCGGGCAGGGTGATACCTCAGGCAAGTTTCCTTACTCCGCACTCCTCTGTTTACCTAGCAGTAAGTAGGAACCCAGTTGTTAGTCGATTGGCGAATCGCTTTCCGTGGGGTAATATTCCCTTTTAAAATAAAAAATAATAATAATAATTTGGTAATTCACTCCACGACTGCTGTGCGCAATTGGCTGCCGCGTTTCGCCCACAAAATATACAGTCAGTTCACTTGACAGTATATTCTGTGAAGTGCTTTGTGATGTCTCAATGATGACATGATAAGACGCTATATAAAATGCAAATACTAATATAATTTTTTTTGTTGTATGTGAAAAACTGCTTCATTTACAAATGCATCACCACTGGTTTAGGCGTTGAGACACCTTGGATTTTGAGTCCAACACCCTCGATGGGGAGCTGCATTGCCCCATGGTGTGCCATTAATTTGCAATTGTTGCACGCTGAGGTTATCTTGCCCGTTGGTAGCTACATAGAGCGACATAGACTGAGTCGGCTCGGAAACAGGCCATTCGGAACCAACTTGGCTGTGCCATCTACGTCTGTTGCCTCCTCGTGACCTCTCCGCTGTCAGTGATGGTGCTGCCCAACACTTTGTGGGTGGGGTCTGGAGCTGCTCCTGTCCATGTCTCTGTGGTGCACATGTGCCTCTCATTAACTACTGACAAGAGGCTGCCAGCTGGTTTAACTGAAAGAGGCTCCATGGGACCAGTGGCCACAGGAGGAGCAGATGGTGTTGAGCAAAGCTTTTCCTTTCCACTGAGAAACGATTGCTGCAGCTAATGCTTTCTAAAACCCAAGCTATTAGAACAGGTTTGGTTTACACAGGCAGCAGATAACAATGTCAACTCTAAATGTTTCCTTTTCAGCACGCAGAGTAAATGATGAGTCACTGTGATTTGGGCTTCGCTGCTGATTAAAACAATTTGCTTTGTGAGGCATCATAGGAATATTGTTCAGGCTGCTATTCTGTGATTTGCGATTTTATGAACGATTTAAATTGCAGTTTAAAATCGACCTTTACGTTCCTGAATTCAATTAGTTTACAGCCTGAATATTATTTTCACACCTAACTGTGGAATGATTGATTCTTTTTTTTACCCTGTGTTTTAATTAATTTGGCTTGTAACACACAGAACTGTAGGTTCATTATCAGTAATGTGAACATTCAAATCTTCGCCCCCACGCTCCTAGTTTTTTGTTTGAATTCAAGAGTTGGGGCTGTTCAGCAATATGTTTCGGTAGGTCTATTTTCAGCTAATTTGATTTAGTTCAGGCAAACACAACAGGTGGACTGCTCTATCTTTACACTCCAAGGTGTGTTGTAACTTTTGCCATTTATTGTTTAAGCAGAAACGCCATCCACATGGGACAGGGGCTTTTTGATTGCACGTATTTGTGTTAAATCTGCTAATCTTTGCCACTGGAGGCTGAAATTTAGCAATCGGTAAAATTATATACCTTGTCATGTGCTTATAGTGGGAAAGCACAAGCTCCTAAACATTACTAACCAGTGGAATTCCACCCCTTTACATGCCACCCACTGGGGATATAATAATAAATCTTGCATTTGATCTTGCGCCTTACAGGTAGAGTCCTGTAGCTCAGTGGTTAGAGCACGCGCTTTGCAAGTGAGAGACCCGAGTTCAATTCCAGGCAGGTCAGGGCGAAACCTTGGGCAAGTTTCCTTACTCCACACGTCTAATAATAATCCCTCCAAAAAAACAAAACAATAATAATTGGTCATTTTCAATCCACGACTGTTTGTGGGACACTGCTGTGCGCAATTGGCTGCCGCGTTCGCCCACAAATATACAGTCAATTCACTTTACAGTATATTCTGTGAAGCGCTTTGGGATGTCTAGAAGACGTGAAAAGCGCTATATCAAATGCAAGGATTATTATTATCATGTCGATAAGATGTCTCAAAGCACTTCACAAAATGTACTGTAAAATGGATTGACTGTGTATTTTGTAGGCGAAATATGGTAGCCAATCGCGCACAACAACGTGCCACAAACAGTCATGGATTGAGGTTTTATTACCCCTGGAAAGCGATCCGCCAATTGACTAACAACTGGGTTCCTACGTATTGCTAAGTAAACAGAAGTGTGTGGAGTAAGGAAAGTTGCTCAAGGTTTTGCCTTTCCCGGGAATTGACCCCGGGTCCTCTCGCTTGAAAGGTGAGCGCTCTATCGAATATGCTACGGGACCCCACAATTTTTACTGCTCTTCTCCAGGGCTTTTATTTGGCATCCAGCTGATGTAACCATTCTACAATTGATGGAAACTATGGTCATTAATATCAGTAAAGGAGGGGAAGTGAGTTGGAGCCATTGGGTGATTTGATGCCAGATCGCAACATCAGAACTTGTTACCAAATTAAAACCAAATTTAATACTTTTCCGCAATTGCCACAATCAAAATTGAAAACAAATGGTCTCTCACAGGATAAGACTGGATAGACAGACGTGAGTGCTCTGGTGAAGACTGACCTGGCTGTGATCTCGGATTGGAAGCTCACACCTTCCAGTTGAGCAGCCAGTTCCCTGTCAGATTGGGGCAAAGCCACCTGCTCATATGCTCTCAGTACAGTGAGGAGGAGTGGCTGGCTCTCTATCCAGGGCTTTTGAAGCATCAAAAGAGCTTCCCATATACAGTAATCCCCTCGGCTTATCCAGGTATCTGGAAATCAAACCTGTTCGAACCGGGCCTGAAACCGGAATGTTTTTTTCACAGGCAAAATTCTCATTGTAGATTCTCGCCAGCCCAACTCTCCTAGCACATGCCAATGCCAAGCTGAGATGCCCATGTGATGCCCACAGCTTCTTGCCTCACTGACCCTGCTAACCTGGAATCCCATGAGCACAAGATAGCTAAGTCATCATACAGTACATTCGTGTACTGNAAAAAATGCAGTGCTGATAAATGGATAACCGTTATTAATCACACTAGTAATTACTGGGTTTTATGTACACACTATTTCTCTTAAATAGAGAATTCTATTTGATCAGCGGGAGAGCATTTTTGTAGATCGATCTCAATATTGTATGTTGACTGGGTTTTATGGTGTGAAATTAAGTTTCTTTATTTTTCTGAACCTCCCAATGCTGTGAAAACAAATCTGGAAACCAATTAATTACACACTTGTATTTGGATTTGTTAAGGAGGTGATTTTGCTCAGTTTGAAGTCGAGCATTAGTTATTAAAGGACCCCAGTAACCAAGAAATTAAAGCACATCTGGTAAACTTAAACAATGAGTAATTAAAATAAAATATTGGTTCTGGTCACAAGACTGTGGTTAGAATGTCAGTCAAATTCTAAGATGAAAAAGATTGTAGGGGTGAGGAGCATTTTGCTTTGTGCATATCCAATTAAGTTAATTCCACATTAATTGTAGGTGATGAATGCAGATATTACCCCATCAGTTGCAGGCTGGTTTCAGTGTTTGGATAGATCTTTATCTGACTGTATGTCTATGACACTTTGAGGACGTTCTTGCTTCTGGGAAGTTGCGATGTGACCCTCAGCAATTCTAATCACTTGGCTTCGAGTTTCAATAGTTTTCCATAACAACAAGGGAAACAGTTCAGAGTCTATGTGTTGTAGATCAGCTCAGTTTGCTGTGTACTATAGGTGTAAAGCAGAATCTGATAACTGTGGGGTGTAAAGCAGCTCAGAGCATGGTCTCTGTGTACTGTAGAACAGCCAGAGCCTACACTGTGAACTGTAGGTCAACTCAGAGTCAGATTTCTGTGCCAAGAACTCAGTTTCTGTGTACTGTAAATCAGCTGAGTTTTCAACATCCGTAATGTCAATCAACAAGGAGTCTTTCTTCCTTGTACTGTATGTATCTGGCCTTTGGTAAGTAGATGCAGAGGAGAGATACAGAAAACCTACAAGTGCTTCTGTTTGATGAAAAGACAAAAAATCAAGGGGCAACTCAAAAGGGCATAAACGGAAGAATGAAGTTGTCATTCAAAAGCGAACAATACAATACTATTGTGTGTGTTCCTATTGTCAGATAATTTGTTAGAAAGTAATGCAATTATTTCATGAGCAATATGAATAGAATTTTTGAAGTGATTTCCCTGTGTAAAGTGCTGTAAAATGAAATTCATCTATATTAATTCAGCTCAGCAGTGCATCTCTGGCCTGTATACACTGCACACCGAAGGAAGCTTCCCATTTAAGCCTTCTAAGAAATGAAAATTCAGACACAATCATGTTTTAATCCTCTTGCTGGGATCTACTGTATTATAATTATTATATAAATTGGCTACCGCGTTTCGCCCACAAAATGCAGTCACTCCACTTTACAATATACTCTGTGAAGTGCTTTGAGACTTCCTGAAGCCGTGATAATGCGCTATATCAAATGCAATTATTATTATTATCATTATTATCTACATTGAACCAAAGCAGCAACATCTGTGAACCTTGCTTACCCTGCTGAATGCAATAACTCTGAGCCATTTAGCCGCTTGAATGATTTTCAACATATTTTCTATTATAATAGTTTTTAATAATTTCCGAACTATGAATATGTATTGCTGTTGGACTTAAAGGCTGCTGGTATTAGAATGGGTTTTTAATTGGTTCTTTCTTCTGTGCTTCTTCTACAATAGGATTGGTGAAGCTCGGAGTCCACTGTGTAACATGTCAAAAGGTCGCAATAAAGATTGTCAACAGGGAGAAGCTCAGTGAGTCGGTGCTAATGAAGGTAATGGCCTGATGAGAGGGCTTCAATAAAAACCTCAACTTTAAGGCTACCTCTTAACAAAATTAATTTCATTCATTATATTATTATATTGGGACGTCCTCCCGATGTGAAAGGCGCTCTCTAAATATAATTTTGTTGTTGTTAAACAAATAGACTGTCATAACCCATAGCAAAGCTGCATATTAATTAGTAATAATTGTTGCAGCTAAACCATTGAAGGCCAAGGATATGCTGTTACTGTGGTTTATAACAGAGTAGAGTTGTACCCAGTGGGTACAGCCCCATAAACTGAATTTGATTATTCAGTTTTTGTTTATTGAGCTTTGCTGATGCTACAATTTGCTTCCTGATGGCTTATTTTTTTACTGTTGCTGCACAGCCTCATGTTGCACAGCTAAATGCACCTTGGAGGCAAGTCTAAAGTGGTTGGTATTAAATCATGATGTTCTGTTGAGAATTTTGATGATTTGTAGTGTTCTTGTTTGTGTTGGGGGATTTACAGAGTTGACAGGTTGAGGTTGGGTCTACTACCATCACTGCGGGGCTGCCTGTGGTGTGCAGACAGTGGTGGTGTGTTGTGCTCTGCCCTTTTTTCCCCTGACTTCTGCCCAGTTCCATCACGACCACAAGGATGGGAAATGGGGGCTGCAGAAGATATTCTATGTTAAACAGTGACATAATTGTAAACATAGCATTTGAAGCTTTGGGTTGGTTTTGCTGATATTCACTGGATTCACTGACCATGTTGGGCAGATTGACATGAGATGCAGTCATGTGGCAACAATGTTGGTTCTGAAGAGTGTTTCTCATCATGTGGCCTGTGCTGCATTGCACACCCTTTAAATCAGTCACTTTGCACGTTCCAACCACCCCATCTCCCTTCCCCTGTTATCTATTTTATGGTCCAACTGTTCAAACAAAAAAAAGTGGGTCAGAGTTCATTGAGAGCTGGAAACAGTGCACATTTTGTTGCTGGCTTTATTATCTGTTTGAGTCACATAAACACACTGAAGCACGTGTTTTGTAACATCTGTGAGCGTTCGGGTAAAGACCAGTAGCTTTCGACAAATGTGCAGAGCTAATTCCCCATGCTGAGTGCTGCTCTCTTTTGTTTTCCCTTTTGCTCCTGAAATGTCCGATTTTAATAAATTCCTGCGTTCAAATCACTGGTGATTGTTTACAGGGGGCAGTGGCTCAGCCATTGGTGTGTAATTTGAACAGAACAAAGGCACATACGCAAGTACACGCACATACAATTACACCACGCACACACCCCATACACACGCACACAGGTATAGAAGATGCTTGTTGACCAGTTATTGAATACATTACTTTATTACAAAGTCTTTTATGATGGCCCTTTAATACCCTTGACCTTTTTCTATGAAGTGATGTTTTCCTCTCTCCAGAGGATTTTGTCCATTTCTCTGAAAATTGCATTAGGGGGAGTACATTTACAAATGATGAACCTCTCCCATGAAACATCATGTCTTAAAAATAAAGCTTCGGACTTGTTATGCTCAACTGTTATATGTCCTCAAATACTAAGAAGAAAAGGTCATTGATTTGCAATAGGCAGAAGGAAATGTATTAAGGGATGGAAAAGGTTGCGGTGGTTATCTTTACTGTGACGGATTCAGGGAGAGCAAAGAAGGAAGTTGAATTTGAATCAAGATTTAAGCCCTAGTTTAGGAAAGTTACCAAGAGTTTGAAGTTTTCTCAAGGTTCAAGTCTGCTGTTTTGCTGCAGTTCATTCACCCTTGTTTAACAAACTTAGAGATGCAATAAGTGGGAAGTGCCAGTCAGAGTGGATGAGAAATAGGATCCGTTGCAATAGAAATTTTTTTCCCCACATCATCATTTTGCCTGTTTGATCGGATGAGGCATACTGATTTGATACTTGGAACATTTGCATTGGTAAAGTGAACAAGGCAATATTCATGAAGAATAAGGAGGAATAAATGAAAGGATATTTAGAGCTGCACCTCCACAGTATCTGATGGGCGTTCTTTTTGCCATTCTTTATGAGGGAACAGAATAATGATTTAATAATTTCACAACTTCAGTAACTCTCCCACCCCAATGCAATGTTCTGTGTAAATTTTACTAATTTAATGCGACAACCAAGTCATTAGATTTTCAGGTCGTGGTTATTTAAAGTGCTTGTGTGGTTTTAATGTGGAGCTGCTTATGAGTTGCGAGACGTAACTTTTGATGTACGTAACATCACTTGGCAAAGCCAATTGAGTCATTCTTTGAGAATGCTGTAGACGGTACAGGCAGACTTGAGTGAGAACACCCACCCTGGACGCTCAAGTAAAGTTATAGTAAATAATTCTCAGAATTGTTGCGTTTGATATCGTGCTTGTAACGCCATTATCTCAAAGCACTTTTCAGCACAGCACAGCAAGTCCCACAACTAGCCATGAAGTGAATGGTAAATTTATCTGGATTGTTGGCCTGGACACCTGGAGAAACTCTGTACCATTTTCGCAATAGTACCAAGGGGTCTTTAACATACACTTGAACAGGCAGACGGGACTTCGGTTTGACATCTCATCCTACAAACAGCACCTCCAATAATGCACTGCTTCCCCCAGTATTTCAGTGGAATGTCGGCCTGGATTGTGAGCTCAAATCTGATTTAATATTTTAACTCACAGCCTTCTATCCAAGGGGCAAGAGTCCTCCCCACTGAACCAAGCTGACAAAACGATCAGTCCTGAGTGAGGACACAATCAGCCCTTCAGCTTCTCATCAGTAACACTGGATATTTTTTTCACTTCCTGGTCGCTGCAGGCCTGATATTGAAAATATTATGAGAAAACCAGAATCTCTTGAATCATGCAGAAAGCAATAATGTACAATCTGGTATCAGTATATTCAAAGAAAGGAAAGAAAAATTTAAATTTGATACTGAGTGCCTAAGATTGGCAAATCAGCTGCAGTTACAAACCTGCCGTACTTTGATAGTCAGCAGGAAAGTGAAAAGCAGGCATGAGCACTTCACATTGAGAGCTGCAACTTTTAATGGCCCTCAGCATAAAATGTAACATTTTCTTTTCCAAATCTAGCATCTGAAAACCCATTGTAATGTGTGTACGTGTGCTGCCCCTTTGGTCTTGAACTAGACCAGCCTAGTTTGTTTTTGCCCACAAAATATACAGTCAATTTACTTTACGGTGTATTCTCTGAAGCACTCAAAACAAATAAATTCATTAACTTTTGATAAAAATGAGACCTGTAAAATTTCTCTGACTCCTTTAATAATCTCATAAACTCCTGGCCACCAACTGTACAGCCAAATTCATTCAACCTAGTGCACGTCCATTCATGATTTATCTCATAACTATTCATGACTTGATTCATCTCCTCTTACTTCGTCCACTTTTAACCTTCGCCTATTACTTGGGTATCTCATTCATTTTTTTGAAATTACATCAGTAATTCAACTAAAAAATCTTCTGCACCTAACATTTGGGAAATGCGTTAAACAGGGAAAACAATTAGTGTGCCATTATCATGTCGTGTGTGCAGAAATACAAGAGGTTACTTTTCCATGTAGGTGGTTTTATTGGTGCCTGACAATTGGCTCTGCTAAAAAAATCATTTTTTTTTACTGCTTTCTTAATGAGTTCTTTGTTCTCGGCCAAACCATTAGTGTGCTATTCTGCCTCAGGTGTGTGAGCATTCTGCCTCTGGGATAAAAGTGCTGCCTTTTTCATTTTGGTGTGTGACACAGTTGTCCCTTCGGTCAAGGAAACCATAGATTGTCTTGATGCAAGGATTGTCTTGATCCACAGAGGAGTGTCCCAAGACTCTGAGCCTATGTCCCCAGACTCTTAACATGAGCTCTGCTCTGATAAGACAAGGAAGATAAACAAAATTATAATTTTTTTGACCCTATTATTGGTGTCATGAGCCACAACAGAAAAGTCTAGCAACGCTCCTCCATGTTTACACAGAAAACATGCGGCACTGCTGTTTTCACTGTAGTAGTTCTTTAATTATTGGGTCTTCTAATTATACTGTTACCCTTTAATACTGGAATACCCAAGAATATTGCACAGCAGGGGATTTTATTTGCAAGCAGAGCAATTATGCTGTTCCTATGGTTTTTATTAATTATGCAGTGTCTGTTATTGGACAATAGTTTAATGATGGTAGTTTTACTCCAAACTAATTTGATAGTAGTGGTCTTCTTGCTGTGCTGTGTGACAGTAAAATGTGTCAATATGATGCCAGATGGTCTTGGCTTAACAGTAATCTAAACGACAACCTCTATCAGTCCTGCCAGCCTATGGTAATGCAGGGTGGACAGTAAATCTTTGACAGCATTTCAGACCAGGGCATTGCTGAGCATTAAAACAAGAGCTGAGCTATCACTGTTAACGAGGCAAACATAAAGCTTTGCTTAAATCATAGCGCATCTGACCTTAGAGAACACTTAAATAAAATTATCAGTTTGTAGTCACAGCAAAATGCCAGCTCTGACTTCAAATAAATCAGTGTTGCTTGAACTGGCAGCAAGTCACCTTTCCTTAGAAATTACCTAATGTTGGCTCCGTGCCCCAAGTGTAGATACCCACAGACAGAATTCACTGTACTTGAATTTAAATTCAGTGACAGCAATCACAAATGTGTTGCATTTTAGCAAAGCTGCTGGAGGTGATCTTGTACACATCAGTGGATTGGGTTGAAGTAGGAGAAGATGATGGGTGGTATCGGGCTTTGGGAGAAATAGTCTCTTGTTAATGAAAGTGGGACAACATTCATGCTGAAGCACGGAGAAATTCATGGCTGGAATACTCACCTTGTAACTAGGTGAAAGCTCAGGGACAAGAACGCAAGGCAAGTGAAGGATTGGCTGAAATACTTTTGAAATATTTAAACTTCAAGTCTGAATCTTGAAGTAAGGTTTCTGAAGTATAGGTGGGATGGGGATTTCTTTCTTTCCAGTGGTCATCACAATACTGAAGAGCTCCTCTGTTTATGCGACC